CGGCTGGCGGCAGGTGACAAAGGTGACCCGGGAGCGGCCGTTGGCTGTGGGAAGGCATCAGAGCTGGAGCCACCGCCGTCACAGGGCCACAAACTAAAATGAAAGAGGAAAAATAATGGAGAGTGTAACAAACAATGGTAAGAGACTCGACCCAACACAGGCGATCAGGGACTTGAGTATAAAAAGCAGTACTCCGTGGAGAAGCTGCTGAGATGGCACACTGTAGTCACTCACATGGTGGGGAGCAGAAGGAATCAAGGGTTTGGAGGGTTTTTTCTTCCTTCTTTTTTTTTTTTTCCCCCTTTTTAAATAGCTTTAAACCTTACCCATTCCTGAGGGAAGTAATTTTCAGGAAATGAATGAAAATGAATATCAAGAGATAACAGTTTTAAGCTGCGCATACACGTAAACTAGTGGCTTGTTGAAAAAAAAATGCTCCCTTGTGCAATAAAACAAAGTATTTCATCCAAATTCCACGTCTTACCCCTCCTTACGTAACTGGCATAGCGGGAAGGATCATGGCAAATTAGGTCAAGCTGTACCCAGATGAAGGATTAGACGAGGAGCAGTTCAGAAATAGCTGAAGAAACTGACGGGGCTGGAATGGAAATGTTGTTGGGTTCCTCTGAAGAGCAGAGAAAGAGAGAGACGTGGCCAGTAACATGTAACTGTGTCCCTCACCAACAAAGCTGGGAGGGAGAGTTAAGCAAACCCGCTGCTGGGGACCAACCTGCAGGTTTTCACAGCTGTAATGGAGCTCTAGTGCCCATTTTCTTTGCTGGCAAGGAATGAAACAGAAAGAAAATAAACATTGCGATGCTTCTGTGTTTTTGTTTTTTTTTTCATGAGTGAGCTGTACTGGTGAATTAAAGCCAAGTCTCATCAAAAAGACAGATGCTTTTTCACATTTGAAAACTATTGGTGTAGGATAAGCATCAGCGTAACAGTAACTAATATAAATAGCAGGTAGTTGCAGAACCAACCAGTGCAGCCCTGCTCCGAAACGGAAAGCAGGATTTCTCTGAAAATGGGAAGGGGCATGAATAGTGACATAAATAGGGCTGAGAGAATTCAAAACAAAGAGGAAACCAGGCAAGTCCTATTCTTAGAAAGGGTGAAAACCAGTCTGCTTTCACAATTAAGATTGCCTCGTCGTTGCAGTTTTCTTTAAATGACAGTGCAGGGAGTATTTGTCATTGGGCTGTGACTAATCAGAGTGCACCACTCAGCTGCATTAAAGCGAGCACATATTCAGACCAATAACGTTGTAACGCCAAAAATTTAATTTACATATTCCTCCAAAGCCATGGATGAGACTAATAAATGCTTGTGGAATTTGGGGAATTCACAGATTTCCAAAACAAACACAAAAATCCCAATAAAAACCAGCTACTTAGCGGTAATAAACATGAATAATTTCTAGCTCTCCCAGAGACCTCTTAAAGAATCATGCTATTTGGTGGAAGACAATATGGTAAAATGACAGATATTCTCAAAATTTGAGGGCAATAGCTTGATAAATAGTGTTAGCTAATTATAAAATGCCTTTTTCCTAAGCCCTGGAATTACAGTGAGTCAGTCTCTGGCAACATCCCCATTGGTTCCACTGCTGTGTTGTGTTCCTTACATCTCCAGAGGTAGTCTTTATCCTGCACGTTGTAGCAAATAATAAAATCCCAAGTACAGAGAAGTAAAAACCACCACGATTTTAGCGCACAATATCTGCAAAACAGAAGGGCACAGTGAAATCAACAGCTCGACACACTTTTAACACATTCATAGAATCATAGAACAGTTTGAGTTGGAAGGGACCTCAAAGATCATCTAGTTCCAACCCCCCTGCCATGGGCAGGAAAACCCTCCACTACACCAGCTTGCCCAAAGCTTCATCTTTTGTTTCAGTTTGTAGATCTGTCCTCAGCTCATCTGCCAGACTTGTTTCAAGCAACCAAAGCAAAGGTGCTCTCAAAAAGAAAACAACGGCATTTCTTAGACTTAGTAATGAAAAAGAATTCCAGTAAATGCTGCCTAGAAATCCCATTTAGCTGCCTCAGCAACCCAAGAATATTTTTAACAGGGAAAAAGGAGAACATTTTATAGGGATATTCTTTAATGTGAAATCCTATCTGGTGGACAAACCTATCTGGAGAGAGGTGGCTCTCAAGAGGAGATAACCTGACTGAGACACAGCAGTTGACAATCCTAAGATTCAGATTCTCTTTCCAGCTCCCCATCAAAGCCATCCTGGATAATTTTTGGTAGCCATTACTATGTGGTTCCCTACATGTAAAATGAGAACATGTATCCATTTAAAATATTTCTGCCTAATTATTCTAATACTGCACCCTTAAAAAAAAAATAGATTCAAGTAGAACTTGTGCAAAATACCACAAACAATGAAGAAGCGACTTCACCACCTTTTCCCTTCTACTGCTGTCCTTCAAATGAAAGGTCTTTGCTGCTTCCTGTGAAGGTCAAACACATTATGCTTCATGAAGACACACACTTTTATTTGCCCTTGTTATGCTTTTCTTTCACCAATAATTACTCCTGCAAATCTGTTTAACCTCTGTTGCAATAATGGCTTGTTACGATCGTTCTGACATGGCTGCTTCTCCTGCCTGGTCTGTTCAGACTGATCAGGCAAGAGACGGTTTCTCAAACACAAGCCATCTGATGGAGGAGCCAGAAACAAGTGGAGATTGAACTGACTGTTGCTAAACTTACACGTTGGAGAGAAAATAAACACTCTTTAGTATACTTGTAGGTGTTATACTTTATGGAAAGAAAGTAAAATCGAAAACGAGTAGGGGAACGAGCCTTTTCTTACCTTATATCCTTGCATGCAAATGCTTCAAGTTTTTTCCAACTTTCATATATATGCTAATACAAAAATAATAAAATCTGCCAGAAATCTGGCAGTTCTTTGTATCAATTGCAGAGCAGGGGTGGAGTCCAAATTCTTACAGCCTTGGTTTTTTTTTTAACAGTTCTGCTGTGTTTGATGTCATTTTTATTTTTGTTTTACCTCCTGAGCTTGAAATAACAGGTATCATTTAGAGTAAAAACTGTAAAAGATTAGAAGGCAGGAGAAAAGTGTGAAGACTGCCAAGAGGGTGCTTTATTTTTGATTGCTCTTGCAAACACGATATCTAATCCCTTATTAAAAAAAAAAAAAAATCATCTCAATTCATTATAATCATGATTACTGCATCCTCCACAGCATAAACTTTCATTTAAGGCACCGGAAGACAATTTAAAGTTTATTTCATGTCAACGAAGCAGAAGTAAGGGGATTATAGTAAAGTTACAAATAAAAGGCCCGTTAAGGTTTCGTGCTGATTTCACCTTTAGTACAGGACAGTCCCACGTTACACGGTTAATCATCTTTTGCCTCTGGTATTTTTAAATGTCGTAAGTCACTCACATCTACTGAATAATCTGACTGATACGCTTCTTGCCAGAAAGATAAAACTAGGAAATCAGTAACACAACAGAGGCTTTGCCAGTAGCTTGGCAGAAAGTTCCCCTTTTCTTGCGAGTTTAGTGTTCTGCCAGAATAGTAACATCAGTTGTCACTGGGGGGGTGTGGGCATGTGTCTGTCTGTCTGTCTGTCTGATGAGTGCTACTGCAAGGTAAGCAGGTGGAAAGAGGAAGTAAGGAAGCGAGTTCTTTATGTTCCATGGAACAATACCTTCAGTCTTCCACGCAGTATTTAAACACTCTTAAGGAGAAGCCGTCAGTGTGCACACTGTGGACGTCCATGCCCAAGTTAAGAGCTCACCCACCATCTGTGCATGCTGAGCGTGTCTACGGGCCTGTTTAGGATCTCACACAGTCTGCAGGCAGAGGGTAGGTATCTGCACAGGATGTCATTCATCCTGTCATTTCACCCAATTTAAAAATTGACTTCTGCAAACGTTCAACGTGGAAGATAATCTGAGAAAATGTGACCCATGTTATTTCCTTTTAAATGAGTATTGCTTTTTATTCATAGCTATTGTAAGATTAACAGTAAAAGTTAGCTCTGAAAAAAAGTCTTCACAACAGTTTATGGAGAATAATTTTCCTATTTAGTTCAGTCCAGACATTTACAAGAACAATGACTTAAATAAAAATAGAATATAAAGCCTATGTTTAAAACATGGCCTTTATTAATGCTGTCTAGTGAGCTCCATATTTATCTTACATTGAAATAGTTCTGCTTTGCTTAAGAAAAGACAGAAAAAGTGCATTTACAAGAGTACTTTTTCTTTAATTTTCTGCAAAAATGGAAGGAATTGGAATCACAAGTTGACAAATGTTGTAAAATGAAATTTCAAGAAACATCAATTTTAGTAATGCTACGCCATCACTAGTGTTTCATTCTTTCTGCCGTGTGAACCAGAATATCCTGATATACAGTCTAGAGCATCTATGTTATTACTCTACAGCATATTAAACACAGAAAAAGGGGTGAAGAACCCCTTTCAATGTACAAACATGAATAAAAAAATTGATAAAAAAATCACTTTTATACATAATGTATATGCAAACTGTTTTAAATACATGGTTTTGGAAGAGTTATTTACAAACTGTATCTGTCTGTGGGACAATCCACAGACAAAGCATACACAGTTGCTTTACTTTATTGTTGCATCTCAACTTTGGGAGATATAAATTCATTCGGCAGTACGGCAAACAGAAGAACTTGTGACAAAGTGTCTTAAGGGCAACCCAAGAAATTTTGTTCCTCAAAACAATGTTAAGTACTAGGACTGCCAAAGTTTCCAAATAAAGTCATGGTTGAATCCAGATGCCCGCTTACAGACCTACGCTGCGGAGGATGCGTAGACAGACCCATGTGAAATACAGGCATGGCTACTGGGTAAAACCTCCTGAAGAGCCACCACTGTTGAGGATGTTTTAATCGAAAGAGTGAACTAACCTAGATTTATTTTTTTTCCAATTTTATTAATATTTTAAAAAATACATAAAAATACAACATCCAATGTCTGAATAAATATATTTAACAAGTTGCAAGATACCCTTATTTTACACAAAAATTTCAGCTTTAGAAATCTTGTTAAATAATTTCATTGTTGTTATATATTTCATTTTTTGTCTTTTTGTAACAAAATAAAAACTCTGAAATTACATAGAAAAAAGACAAAATATTTTTGTCAAGGGATAAGATAGTCCACTGAAAACCTATTCACAATTCCACTGTAAACATTAATAAACATTAAAATATTTGCATAATTGTGTGCTCAAAAATCCTATAAAAAGTGGAAGACTTATTACAACTGTAGTTTTCAGTCAACTACACTTCCTTTCACAATTTATTTTGTCCCATTTACACCTTTAAAACTGGGCACATTGCTGAACACGTACTTTGGCAGTTCTGTATAGCAAGTGCTTCCACAAAGAGGAACTACTCACCAAGAGTTAAGGTACAGCTCGGTGGAAGTGCAGCAGTTACTCAATTCTTTTGGATAATACTCCGATGTCTGCCTGGTGCACTTGCTTTTCTAAGATCTCCCTAGAACACCTGAATGCTTCATTGGACATAACTTTTCAAATTTGATAAGTGCCCTTACTCTGCATTAACAAAACGAAACAAAAACAAACACAATGACAAGCATGTCACATTGTGCCTACAAACCTTCAGTTACCAATGAGCTTAAGTTCTCTCAACAGTAAATTAAACAAAAGAAGAGGGCAGGAGGGGAGAACAGGTACAGTCCAGCAGTGGAAGTGTGTACAGAATATACTTGGCAATGTCAAACCAGTTGAGTGCTTTCTGTGGTTGAATTTCAGGATTTATGTCCATGGCAGCGAGTTGCTGGCAAGGCAGAGAAACGTGTATCACCTGCATTCTACAGCAAGCACGTTTTGTGGAGGAGAAGATGATGATGGACTCATTCCAGTGTCTGATGAAGCAGATGACATGGATGCTCCTGTATGTGACACTGAATATACAGAAGAACAGATCAGCATCAGATTATCAAAGTACATGTCAGAATGAAGGTTTCCTTCGTTATTAGGTTGTTTAAAAGACCTCAAAGAGGTCACAGAAAAACGATACAGATTTTTTTTGTCCGTTGCTTTCATTGCTATATTCACATAAACCAGATGAGTAACCTTACCCTTTTCTGCCTCACAGACCAATTGAAAAGATAAGTCAGATGAGTCATTACACTGAGAGAGAACTCAGACCAAGCTTGCACTGGCAAGTCCAAGTTTCTAATACACAGTTACAAAATAGTCAGTGAGTGTTTCTGTTAGGTTCAAGTTCAGGGAAGCCATAAATATTACTTTTAAATATGTCTACATACAGATGACAACACTTTTTATTTTTCAAAAATACTGTCAATTAAACTCCAGTTGCTTGGAGTTACGTATTTCCAAGGAAATTAACTTCTCATGGGAAGCATAAAGCAAAATGGAAAGTTACCTTCTCTGTCTTTCTTTTTTAATCGTTTTCTTCTCCTGTCTATGGTTGCTACTTCTGACTTCAAGGACATGTAGTATTTCCGTATTTCCTGTAGTTTTTCTTGCAAGAAGGAGATCCTTTCAGTGCTGCTCATATTGTCTAGTTCATCTTAAAAGTGGGAAGAAAAGAAAAAATAGCTTCATCGAGGTGATTTTAAACAAATGAATGCAATTCTTAAGACTATACAAGATGCACCATGAAAGAACACAGTTCCATAACTACGTTATAGAAGGCCTATACCTAATTTAGAATGACAATATTTGCAGGTTTTTCTTTCAGAACAAATTTTCTTGTAAATTCCCTTTAATCAAGTCACTTAAAGAATTCTTACTGAGCTGAAAACTCCATTTGTATACTCTAGGCGAAGCATTCTGGTGGTGGTGTTTCTCTTTGTGTTTATCCTTCTCTCCATCTTTGATGTGAGGTGAAAGCACTCTTGCAGGTGATCGAGAAATCTTCTGTGGTTTGGATGCATTTATGTGTTTTACAGGAGTACATTTACTTGAACTGTCCAGGACAGGAAGGTCTTCACTGTCACTACTTTGTCCTGCAGTAAGAGAAATGTGTTTATCTGGATCTTATAAAACAAAAACAAAACAACAAAAACCTTTACATTTTTTAAATTGTATAGTCAGAAAAAATTATTAAGAATAAACTTCTTGCTCAGAATATCCCAGAACACATACCAGGAAAAATACTGTATCAGATTCAATGTACAACTTTATCAGACACGACATGCACTCAACTCTCAAGATCATTAATGCAGGAGAAGTCAAGGGCTGACTAAGCCGTTAGTTAAAAAACAACAGTCAAATGTTTTTTAAAGAATCAATAAAAAAGCTTATTAAAGTAAAAAAAAAAAAAAAATCAGTGCTCTAATAAGGTCACATCTTTTTGGGGTTCTAGTATAAAGCAGACACTAGAATCCCTTTTTTAAAGATTAAAACTGTATTGATATAGGTAGGTAGCACACGATTGTGCACATTTACCAAATTGCTTTACACATCTAAAGGAACAGTTCTGAAACGGGACTAAAAGCAAAAAAGCTTTAACAGAAAATTTTAAGCTGATGTAGGGCAAATATTTTAGATTCACACAGTAATTGCAAAGTTTTACACAGGCATGTTAAACGTGTCTGAGTATTCTATGTCAGATAATTAGCATTTTAGTTTGATATTTTAAAGTTATAACAATGCTGCCACAGGGCCTAAATATATTGACTCATTCAATACAATGATCACAAAAAACGAGCTACAGAAACACAAAAATCCAGATTTCTATAGCAAGTTAAAAACCAGTCACATACTTAAGATAAAAGCACACCACATTCTTTTTGCTGAAAAGTTACTCTTTAGCATCAAACATTTTTTCCATACTTCATAAAGGCGCTTTTTCCCATGAGAAAAACCTATCCTAAGACTTTAAAGGAGATGCTTCTGCTCAAACTCCCCTCTCCCTAATTCACAACCAACCCAATCTATAAAAATCAGCATAACAGTAAATATTTAGTAACTGCTCATATGCACAGTTATTAGAAGTTTCTCCTAACAAAGTAATTAAAAATAGCCAAGAGATTTCCCAGTAACACTGCCACCACGCAGCCAGTAAGTCCTCTGTCATTAATAGCCAATAATCACATGAATAACGATGAGGCTGTGAGCAATCTGGTGTAGTGGAGGGTGTCCCTGCCCATGGCAGGGGGGTTGGAACTGGATGATCTGTGAGGTCCCTTCCAACCCAAACCATTCTATGATTCTGTGAAAAACCCTGACGAGGAAGTCCCATCCAACAGAAATAACAGGTTACAGTGAGAACGGCGGGCCCTTAGACATGTTTACAGGACAGCATAACCTTTCCCCTCTCCCCGTCCAGGAACGTACCTGTTCCATTCTTCTCATTTTTGGCTGCAGCACTTGTTCGCTTTGGAGTACGCTTCTGCTTCTTTGCCAGCGTTCCACTATTGCTATCACTGGGTCTTTTCTGACCTAATAATAATAAAAAAAAAACATGCCTCAAATATTTCTGCTTTTTTTTTTTTTTTATAAGCACCAAAGGAATTTAAAATCAGAAGACAAAACAAACCAGCCATTTTTCACAAAGTAACACCAGGCTTTAAGACAACTTCCAAAATCATTACGGCAGAGAAGGCACTGCTCACCTTTCTCTCCCACCTCTCTCTCTTGCACGGCTATACTACAGTTGCTTGATGTCGTGCTGGCTTCAAAGCCATTAGCAGACTCGCTTTCACAGAGACCTTCTTGAGACTCTTCTGCCACGCTGTCGACTTCGATAGTCATGTCGCTTTCGCTCTTGATGCTGCGCGATTCGTCCTGGCTCAGGGTCAGAGGCGATGCCGCCGAAAAGCCGGACTGGACGGCAGGGGCTAAGGCAGACAGAGTTGAATCTGAAGCATTAGGGTCTGGCTTTTCTGATATTGTGTCCTCACTACTGCTCTTCTCCTTTTCATCCAAGTCATCCAAGTCTACTTCGTGGCAGAGCAAAGTTTCAGGACCAATCTGAGGCATGGCGTCATCCTCATCTTTTAAGGGAACATTCTCGTTTTCTTCGGATGGATGTTCGAAGTTCTCATTCCTCAGCTCTTGACTGTGCTGAACTGATTCTGCCACCAGGGATGGCATCTCCTCATTTTCAGTTCTAAGGGACTCTTCAGCATTCAGCCCTCTACATTCCTCTGCTCCAGTACATTCATTGGTCCTCTCTTCAGAGACAATATTTGGCACTTCCATCTCGCTCTCTCGTCGATTTCTCTTCTCAGGGGATGCCTGTTCCAAAGTTTTCCTTTTCAAAAGCTTCTTATCTTTTGTAGAAGGTTCTGTTTCACTTTCAGTAGTGCTGGAAATCTCTTTACAGTCCAAGGAAGACAAGTCTAATCTTTCAGGTTCTGTAAGAGATTCATTTGCCACCTCATCTTGGCTTCCTGGTGAAATCTTTGCATTCTCTAAACAGGGATCTTTTGTCTTGCTCCTTCTCCCTTTTCCTTTAGGTGATTTTTCAGCCTCTCTTTTGATTTCTTCTATTTGTTCCGTTTTATTTCCGAAAATCTGAACAATCTGTTCACTTTCTTCAACTTCCAGTTTCAGTGTTTCTAATGGCTGCACTTGAGTCCTGTCGTTTTCTTTCAATGCATGAGGAATCTTTGGGTTTTCTTCATCTAGCTTCTCATCATGTAGTTTTTCACTTTTTTCCAGTTCTGGAGTTTCTGGAGAAAATTCTTCATTCAAATTCTTTTCAGACGACTCATCTGCTTCACTGTCAGATGAACCAGACTCTGCAAAAAATTTTTAAAAGAAGGAAACAGCACCCTAAATCATCAATTACAGCACAATTTCTTTTTTTTCCCCCAGTAATCTATAGTATTAACATCGTCTTACAATAAACAATTTCAAACTTAAAAAAAACATCCTGTGTTATTCAACACACTTATTTTACTGTTCTTATTTTTACTCAAATTTTTTACAAAATCAGAGTTCAAGGAGCATCTGGACGATGCTCTTCATCATACGATTTAATTTGTGTAGTCCTGCAAGGACCAGGGAGTAGGACTCAACAATCCTTGTGGGTCCCTTCCAAATTGAGATATGCTATGATTCTATGATTCTACTACTACTGTTTCCCAAATAAGTCAATATAAACAAAGAAGTAAAAATAGTTTTACAGATTCCCATGATCTGGTATCTACCTGTGGATATTGCCTCCCCCGGCTGACATTACAAAACCAAAAAACAAGACTCCTCCCCTCCATGCACCCCCAAACAGAAAAAAGAAACCAAAACAAAACGAAAAACCAAACCCTTCCACACCACAATATGGACATTTCATTGCTAAACTATTGTACGAGTCACACACCATATACAGAGCAAGCATTGTTACGTTACCAGAAGATTATTCAGGGACCTGTACTAAAAGGAGACAGTGATTTCACTTCAGTTCTTGTTCACAGAGGCTTAGAAATCCCCAAAATATTGCTGCCATTTGTATATAATTAACAACCCTGTTGGATGATGTAGTACTGGGGTTGAGGACTTAATTACCACAATAAAGACTATCATACCACTAGATTTGGTCTGTTTAAGATTAGGAGTGAAAGGCTCTGGCTAAAGACTATGGAATGACTTGCACAGTCATTCCCATGCCGTAGCTCTTCTGTGAGCAAACTGTGCTCCTCAGCAGTGTCAGCTCAGCTACTTCCTCAATAAAATTCACAGGGAGAAAAAAATCAAAAAGGCGGGAGGGAGGGAAGGTAAAAAATAAAAATCAAACCTCTTTTCAAAAAGGTACTAAAAAGCCTCGAAAGCACACACAGGACTGAGATCACTCACCGTTTGATCCTCTATCAGAATCAAACATTCCTGAGCTACGTCTCGTCTACCTGCGAGGTGTTGCTAAAATCAAAATTGAAAGTATTAATTTTTTTTTTTTTTTTTTATAACGTTAAACCTCCACCAAAAATTTGTTTTGTTATATTGCTTGTACCCTGGCTGGTTAAGTAGGACTTTAAAGCTGCTGACAGCACTGCGTTCTCTGAAGTTCTCTTATCAATGCACTGCATTACATCACTGTTTACATGCACTTCCATGCCAGAACACGAGTGCACCAGATGTACCTTCTGTTCCATTTGGTAATGGTGAGGAATCTGACAAGTTGTTCCGTGCACTTCTGGCTCCTGATTTACCTTCACTATTAGGTGTTTTGGATAAACTGCAAGACGTGTTTGATGGAAGAGTAGATTTCAGAGGTGGCCGCCCACGCTTTGATTTTTGTTTCTCCTCATCCTTCTTCTCATCCTTTTCACTGTCTTCTTTATTCTGAGGGGGAAAGAAAAGAGAAATTTTATTCATATGTTTCACTGCTGTTCATCAACCTCTTCTCCTTTTGCTCTATACTTCTATTAAAAAACTAGATTGTGGACTCAGTAACTTCAAAAAAAAAAAAAAAGGGAGCAGTGATAGTAGTAAATATTGTACCACAAGAAACTTATTGAAATAACCATTACTTTTGTTTTTTTCTTCTGTTTTCTCTTTGGTCCTCCTTTGTCCACAGGCCAGATAATCCGATCAGCTTTCACCCATTCATCATATCTAAAAGTAAATAACAGCGTGCTGTTACTACTGCATATAAAGAAGTTGTTGGGAATATGAAGCTTAAAAGACTGAATTACAGACAACATTTATTAAGGAGAGGTAGGAAATCAGAGCATGTTTTTACAAACACATGCAGTATCTGGCATTAGCAAGATGAATTACATTTCTAACCCATAAAAAAAATTTATGAGACGGGGGAATGGAGGTGAAAACTTCCCTGTCTCTTGCTAGCAAAGCACTGGAAGTCAGAGGACTCTGTCAGCTATAAAGCTTCTCAATTATTTCACAGGATATACAAAAAGTCAGTTTTCACCACACCATGTGCCAGAAGTAAAAGATTCCTTTTTTTTTTTCTTAAAGGAAAAGTTTTCAAATTATAGCAACGAACCGTAAGAGATTCTGAAAAGCATAGATATACTATCAGTGGTCCTCAAAACCTTCCGAGTTATTCATGAGATAAAGGGATACATGAAAATATTTGGGAGATACCTCCAACACACATAAACTTAACGTAGCCACAGAAAGAAATTTCCTTAGTTTACTTAGAAAAATATGGACTTGGCACATCTCAAGCTATACACCAAAAATGTAGTATTTTAAAAAATTATTGATTTTGTTACGCTTTTGTTTATGTAGGCAATCACAATGCTCTTAACAACAACGAAAAAAGCCATGTCTACAGCAGTGTTGAATATAAAGCACGGCTGCCAAAAGAAGCATTTGATTAATTTTTTTCTGCCGTTCTTTGTTGCTTAGCACTCTCCTACCCTCTACATGTAACAACCATTTGTTATAATCACAGTTAACACTGAATACAAGAATAAATTTTGTTGCCAAAATTTCAGTGCTTGATACACTTCATTGTAGATGCCTTCACCATTATCAATGACTCCCCTTTAAATAAAAGTCTGATGCTGCTAACACTTGCTGGCAAAATAGATTACAGGGATACTCCTGTGAGGAGCAAGGATTACTCACATTAAGCAGGATGGAAATTTGGAAACATACAAGTATATTCTGAGATTTCAGTGCGATAGTGTCATACCATGAACAAAATTAACATTAAAAAATGTAATAGAGTCAGATCCTGTTATCAAGTCACTAATTATCTTTCTCTTTTTTTCTTAAAAACAAAAGTCCTTTTGCAAATAACAAACAAAGAAACGAAAGGCAATTTGTTCTCCTCACCTTACATTCCAACCATAGTAATGAACTAAATATAAAACCTCTCCATCATCAATTTCTGTGCTTTTAATACTGGCTTCATAAATTTTCTGAGTCTTTCCACGTCCATATTTTACTTTGACTTTGGTTCCAGTCAGGCAGCGTTCTGCGTCCTCCTCATCCTCTTCACCTTCTGATTCTCCTTTGTTCTCTATTTCTTCCCTGCAGTAAAGTGTATTTGAAATGCCCAGAATTAATGACAATCAAAGTTTAAACATTTAATAGTGTAGCCAAGCTACTACGAAAGAAAAAGGCTGCAACAAAATTTTTTCTCATTTTCTGCATCCTGCACTGCCTCCGAAGCTAGCTTTTTGAGTAAAAAACAGGGCTTAGCGAGAATAGGAGTAAGTGCCAAAAATATCCAGAAAAATTCTATTTTAAGCACAATTTATTAGGTGTGTAACTACCTCAAAGGTTAAAGATTTTTCTAAAATGAGTATTTTGATAATACAAGAAGAGGAATAAGTTTACTCAGTGTTTGACTCCTAAATAAGACAGTAAGAACTAACTTCGGTTTTTAAAATACACTTGACAAACTATTTAAAAAAAAAAAATTTCTTTCTTCTACAGTTTGCTTAATAGGCTACAGTTCACCACCAGTGCACAGTAAGTCTGAATTGCCACCACAGTGATCCTCTCATGGATACAAACACTCCATCCAATTGAAAAAAAAAAAAAAAAAAAGTTGATTACAACACTGTTTAACCAAGACTAAAGTCTTGGTTATTCTACTTAATATTTTCCAGACTTACAGTCCAACCTATTTTTACCTGTACTTCTTTTTCCCTACTTTTAGGGTGAATTTAGCATAATGTAAGAGTTAAACTACTAAAAAGTCACAAAGCAAGCAAACACTGAAAAAGACTATGGGTTTACTTTTTATGAAATATATTTGCTGGCCTTCAATGAGAGGTGAACAATCTTGTTGGGGCACACAATTATGAGAAAGATGATAAGCACCATCGGGGCTACTTAAAAAAAAAAAACCTGTCATGCCTTCGTCATCTGAAATACCTCTGCAACCTGCTGCACGTTCACACTGTACCTTTATTTAAGGCATTTCTGCACGCTATGGCGCACAGCAACGTTATTTTTTTATGGACTGCACAGTGACACTTTCTTTAAAATAACTGTGTATCCGTCCCAGTCCTCAAAGCTCTTTAGAAGAAAATATGCAATGCCCCTAACAGGCTTTATTCAGTATCAACTTGTGTCCACAGCACTTAGGCACATGGACAAGAAAAACAAGGTGGCAAAGCCACCTTTAACAGGCAAGACGCTGTCCTTGACCACAGCCAAAGTTAGCTAAGAGGAGGTCTGCTCTGGTCATAAATCAGTCACCTGCTCAGACCTTGTTTGTAACCAGGACTATAAATCCAATTCAACTTGTCAAGCTTAGTCTGCAGATGCTGTTTTCCCTTTGCCCTTCCATGTCTTTCCATCTTCTCCTCTTCAACCTACCTCTAAGTTTCATTCAAACTCCCTCTTTCCTTGTCCTTTGCTTTATTAGCTGCTCCCCTGCCTGCCTGCCTACAACACAGCAAGTAACAGTAAAAACGAGCAAGTTGTAGGTTCACCAGCCATCACTGAACACATCAACAAAAGCATGGCAGAAGAGGGGCTCACTTCTCCATTTACATTCCAACTGCCCAGAACAGGCTGCCTGAACAGTTGCTCACCATCCACACAGCACCTGGCACACCTGCAATCTGGTCTGCTTGGTGTCTGTACGTACCAGTGTGTGACAAAAAAACCAACACAACCTTGGCAAGACCTTCGAGAAAATGGAAGTGAAAATATTGCCTGGCATCGGCCAGAAGAAGATGCTGCCGTAAAGTGCAGCAGACTCTACAAACTTGCAATAAAATTTTCCCTTTCCTGTCTGGCTGATTGCATTAGGTCCCCGATTTCCACGCTCCAGTTGGTCAGATCTCCGACTCCGTGTATACTCCTGCTTGGAGTATGGCTCAATCGTGACACAGACACACTAGTCAGAAGGTGATACAAGTTAATGTTTACCTCTCCCTCTGCCTCTCTTCCTCTTCATCTGACTCTTTATCAGAATCCTCCTGTTTTTTAATTTTTTTCTCTTTTTGCTTTGGTGTGCTTTTTCTCCCTAGTGGAGTTTCATTTTCTTTCTTTTCTGCATTCTCAGGTGCTTCCTCTATATCTTTGTTTTCTTTGTTACTGTCTTTTAATTTGTCTTGTGTTTTATCCTCTTCACCATCCTTTTTAGCAGGGGTTGCATCACGGGCAAGTCGTCTTCGTCCCTAGAACAGAAATAAAACCAGTTTAATGACTCCTGACAATTGTTCTCTGTGTAGCCTCTCCAAATCTCAGCTGAAAGTGAAACATACTATTCCTGTATTGAAGAAAGGCTGGAGATAACACCAAAGAGCAAAATATTCTAAAATCTTAACATAATAGAGCTTAAAGTCTTGTTAGAGAGGTAAAAAGCAAAATAAAGTCATTCTACTTAGTCTGAAATAAAGAGGACGAGCTTCTGATTAACTTTGGTAGATTTCAGGTCATTCATTTAGACCTGTAAGGTCTGCTGCCCAGACGGAGAGGGCCAAATTCCTTGCTCAACTACAGCAACAGCATTAATACTAAAGTGCCTGTATAGGACTATTGAGAGAAGGCATCTTCCTTTCAGCAGCTGCAATCCTGACAGCCACCTGTTGATGTCCCAGAACAGAAATTTGTTTAGCTTTAGAAAATCCTGAAGTATCACATTTTCAAAAGGTACTTTGAACAACCGGACAACTGCTGTCTGGGACTATCTGCAACTGGTAACTTGGAGATCTAGTACAGGTTTATCGCTTTACTCTTAAAAGTCTCTTGTATAAGGTCATTGCTTTGCATTCAGAACATTTGAAATACACTATGAATGCAAGATTAATTATTTGGAGGCCATCCAAAGGTGACATTAATGAAGGCACAATAATAAGTCATTCACGGTAGTATAATGGTAAATACTTTGGAAACATAATATTTCATAAATAGATAGCTGGTGACTGGATTAATAAAGTAATGAAATATATAACCAAGTAATACTTAATTATTAAGAAATTAACAGCCAATGATCAAAAAAGACAAAAAATTCTTCTGTTTCTTTATCCTCTCACCAGTTTTCTCCAAAAACAAAAGACAAATGAACAAACTAACAATAAAGCTAGTGTCACACCAGGAAGTTCATTAAGGCTGACACAGCCTGGAAAAACCACTTGCAGTTAGATCAAAACATATCTAAACTTATGTTTACCCTATGTCTTTTAATCTATTAGTTTAAAGGTCATATACTTGCTTGAAAAGCTGGTTTGCAAGATGTACTTTAATAGAATTGTATTTTAGTTGAACAGAATCCTTACAACTTGAACAATTTAAAAAGTAGCAATTCCTTGTCCTTCAGTAATCATGCTCTATTAAGGAACACAAAACGTTCTTTTGACAGAATTAAGAGGAGCACTACAGAGCATGAAACCAGTCATATTCAAACACCTTAAAAGTATTCTTGTATTCTCCATCAGGTTCAGCATCCATCAGCTGAGGGGTCACTGGTTTTATCTACATAACTACTAACATAACCCTCACCTCTACAGCATTCAGAGACAAAGACAAAAACGACGTGTTCCTCCCCCTACTTTTGTCTACATACTTTAAAATTGCAGCGTTTCTTTTATTAAAAGAAGAGACGCTATGATAAAAACCAACTCAGAGAAATGGGTCTTCCTTTGATTCTTAAAGCTGTAGTGGCCCCTTGATATTCCTGCTTCTTGCTGGAAAGCTCCAGATTCAACGTGCCTGTGGAAATTCTCACCCACAACCAAGACTGTCCTGCTGAGTTTCACTGTTCTGATCATAGAATCATCTGGTTGGAAGAGACCGTCAAGATCATCGAGTCCAACCGTTCACCCTGCACTGTCAGGGTCCCTAAACCATGTTCCTCAACACCAAATCCACATGGTTTTTAAACACCTCCAGGGATGGGGACTCCACCACCTCCCTGGGCAGCCTGTTCCAATACTTCACAACCCTCTCTGGAAAGAAATTCTTCCTGATATCTAACCTAAATTTCCCCTGGCGTAACTTGAGGCCATTCCCTCTCATCCTGTCATTCACAATGTGGGAGAAGAGACCGATCCCCATCTCCCTGCAACTTCCTTTCAGGTAACTGTAGAGAGCAATAAGGTCCCCCCGAGCCTCCTCTTCTCCAGACTAAACAGTCCTAGCTCCCTCAGCCACTAAATGATGATACACAGCTCTCCGGAGCTCTCAAGCCATCCCTGAATCGAAACATGTCTGACATCCAACACAGCCTGAGCCAATCCCATGGATGGTTTGAAACATGAAGAAATAACCAAAACGGATTCTACTCACAGGTAGAACATAATTAACAGTTAACCCCAACTCTGCGTTCACAGAACCCTGTCCTACGCTGTACAAGTGCGCCAGTTCAAACACACAACCACGCCACAAGGGAAAACTCATTGTGTGCACTGTCCACCACACAACGGGGGTTTGTTCAGTACTCAACAGACACCAGCTCAAACCACTTACCCTTGGGGATCTTAGTTCTATTTCTTCTTTTTCACTTTCACTGCTGGAATAACTTTCTTCCACTTCTTTTTTAACTTCTGTTGGGGGCATTTTTTGTTCCTCTTTTACACTTTCCTCCATTGGTTCCACGTGTTTCTGTATGTCTTCTACTACTTTTGGTTCATTGTGGTGGATGGTCCTAAACTGAATGTTTGCAGAACGGCAGTACTCTTCAAAACCATAAAGATACCTATAGATACACACAGTTTCATTTATATTTCATGTTTTACTTTCTTTTTATTGAAGCGCATAAAACCTATTTCCCTGCTCGCAGAAAAGCAAGAGGAGCAGTAACTTTAGGAAAAAAACAAAACAAAACAACAAAACAAACACAAACAAAAACCAAAAAGCCAGAGAAGATTTTGAAATGAAACAATACACGCAAGTCAAGCGATGAGAAAGAATACACACAAGTGCTTCCCACAAATTTAACTTCATCCCCATCCAATTAAGAACTCCTAACAGTAAAGCCTAAGAACACGTATGCTGTTTTGAAAATACAAAACAACAGCTAAAATCAGCCTAGTATTAGAATATGGGCACACAAACAAGTTGCCACACGGTAACAAGTTGTCAGGCATCCACTCGTTCTCTGGTAACTGTGTGCACACTCTAATCCAGTTATAGGTGAAAGAAATATGAACTAGCTTATTCCTCAAAGAATAGATACGCAAGTTACAACATACTGTCATGTGTCCATACGACATAATTATTTCCACTTTAACAGCAACCTAGTACATATTTACCAATTACTTTTTATGATAAATACTCTTCTCTGTAAAATACAGACCTTAAATATGTGCACAGTTCAAATCCCACTGAAGATGGTCTGAATACTTTCATCTTCATCAACATTAACATGAGTTGAGTCATTAGTCATCCCTATTCAATCAGCCAAATTTCCTTAGGTTCGAGTCAAGAGAACCTCATTCTTCCCTTTTACTCAAAAAGCCCAATTGTTTCTTGTCAAACTTCCAGGAGGATAAATAATAAAAATAATTTTTATTTAGAAAATGAGCTTGCAAAGTGTCATTCCTAAAAGGTTTCCATTTCAAAGTTAAAACACAACTGAAAACCAGGGGTCAGAATAAAAAGATTAATGCATTTTTTTATTACAAGCAGTGATTTTACTACTTAATACTGTCACATCCACCATAGCAATGTACACAGTTATGCCCTAAAGCCATTGTTCTACAGATTCTGCAAAGATGATATTTAAATACGCAATCTGAAACACATCTATCTCTCTCAACGTTCTTCAGGAAGTTGAAGAAACTGGTACAAAATCCTCCTCACTGCATGCAGAATCTACAGACTGCGGACAGAGTCCATTCTTGTTAATCACCATAAATTGCAAAGTTGAATTTGCCAAAGCTTTTTATAATAAATTTCATTGTTGTACTCTGAAATGGCAGCATCACATGCTGAAAGTGAACGCTTCTTGATAAGAAAGCGAGCAGAATTCTGATGTACTAGAGCAACAGGAACTTACACAGCTCTGAGCACTCCCTCCTTACCTCCACCGTTTCAATCCTCGGCACTGGAAAATGCTCAGAACTGTTCATTAACGGAAGAGTGTCAACTACTGCTTCACTAAACTATCAAAAAGTGCTTGAATATTGTACATGCTACTAAAAAAAAAAGTGAAAAATGTTTTCACCATTACACAATACAAGAACTTACTTTCTATAAGCGGTTTTTACGTTGTAGGAAGCAGCCGAGTTCAAAATAGGAATGCCAAGGTCCATATAAATTTGCTTCCATACAGCGCCACTCTCAATCTTTGGAGAAAAAGAAGAGAAAAAAGATAAAAAGAAAATTTTCAGGTTTTGTTAGCCAACAACATTAGGGAATGCTATCTAGCACAGCCACGAGCCACGGCCTTTAAGAACGAATAGACATATTTAGTTCAGGAAACATCCAACACTTACATTGTCACACCCACCCTGCTGATACACCAGCCTAAAAAGTTTGAAGAGATTAAGGTCCTTGTAGCCCAAAACAGGTGGTTTATTGATAGGAGTACCTAAAGAAAACAAAACCAGAAAGAAGTTACCACAAAGGACAGCAAACTGCTTCTTCCATTCCTTTAGCACACACTTGAATACTAATATCTGTCTACATTTTAAAATTTGTATTCAATAGTTCTAAGATACGTCAGAAGTCAGTAGCTTCCAACCACCAATTAAGGCTTCACCCTCCTTTCAATGCCTCACTCATTTCTGGGTGCTTTATTAGCATACTGGCAGCAGCTGCTTGGTACCTATGATTTCGACCTGCTTTTCAGATCTGTGCCATAACCCCCATCCAATGAGCTGCATCCCACAGCTCTTCTCGCGAGCGGGGGTACAGCCGGAATTGCAGCAAGCTCTACGGAACGCCTGCGAATGCTGAAACACAGCAATGCGCGAAGAGATGAACTCCAAACATCGTGGTCTGAAAGGAATGGGGAAGGAGCAGAAACGTTGGATCAGAAAAAGATACACAGGCAAATTGTCAGACTGTGAAATGCACAAAGCCCTACCAGGACATAAATATTTGGGACAGTTCCGGGAAAAAGAAAGAACTCAAATCAGATGAGAGGCAATGACATAAAGAACAATAATTAATTGCAAATGGAGAAACCAAAAGTGACTTGGGGCAAGCGGCTGCATACGTAGACAGTATTCCTCCCAGCAAGGAAGAATATCAAACCTCCTCCCTGCTGCTTCTCATCTTCCTTCATCTTCAAGCAATTATACTAGGAATCATTAAAATAATTTTATAGGACTTTGGGAATACTGTCATGATTACGACGAATCAAAACACTCATACTGAGAGAACAGAATGTAGAACAAATCTGGTGGGAACAGAAATCTTACTATGAGGACAGAGAAGGGAAAAAAAAAAAGAAGAGTAGACAGGCAAGGGGAAAGATCCAGTCCTGAAAAAGTCCTGTATGTTTCTCAATCGACATACTAGCTTAAAGAATAGTTTCTGGACTGAGTCTGCAAATTATTCAGTGCACAAATGCTTGCTTCTTTTGTCTCTACAAGTCCCTGAGATGATCCCTACTTGGTTTGTAGTCCAAGAGTGTTTAAGAAAGGGAGTGAGGAAGAAGGAAAACTGAAAAGGAAGAATAATCAGACTACTAGAAAAGAAAGAGAATTCTGGATTAGTCCAGCAGCACAGGGATTTTTTTCCTCTGACATAGCTTCTTATTCAGTATCCAGTACCTCAAGGGGGCCTACAGGAAAGATGGGGAGAGGCTGTTCAGGAGGGCCTGTTGTGATAGGACAAGGGGTAATGGTTTTAAAATAGAGGGAGGTAGATTCAGATTGGATATTAGGAAAAAATTTTTTACCATGAGAGTTGTAGAACACTGGAACAGGTTGCCCAGAGAGGTGGTGGATGCTCCATCCCTGGAGACGTTCAAGGCCAGGTTGGACGAGGCCCTGAGCAACCTGATCTAGTTGGAGATATCCCTGTTCCTTGCAGGGGGGTTGGACTAGATGACCTTTGAAGGTCCCTTCCAGCCCTAACCATTCTATGATTCTATGATTCCCCCAAGGCAGGTTATTCTCCAGAAACACTGATTATACACAGGAGGCCTCAAAATTATATTGGATGAACTCCAGTATACTTTGCTATAATACATGATTAATTTTTAAACCTGTGATAAGCACTGGCAATACTGAACAGACTTGGAACTATTCTTTTACAATTCTGTGTTCTAGAACACACCTCATTAATAGGGATGTAGAACCTCTTTTACAAAGGTTGCCTAATTTCCCCTCCAATTTTAAAACCAAGAAAACTTTGCACTTTTAAAAGGGAAAAAGGAAGGCGGAGACACTCTGACACTACATGCACTTTACGTTTTACTCTTCTTAGCTCCAGTTATTTCAAATTCAAGTACATCAACATCTGCTGTACTATGCTGCTACAGAAATATCATTCAGGCAACTTTTGTCAAGAGAAAAAAAAAAGTAAAAAGACAGTAGTTGCACTTGTAATCTAACTCCACCAATGTTATTGCTGGATTAACACAGTATTTGAATCGAAATAGCGAGCTAATGAATAAAATGAATAAAGAAATGTATTCTAAAACTCTTTCCAGGCTTAAATATACTAAAAAAAAAAAAAGGGTGTGTGCGTGTGCAGCCAAGGAACAGAAAACCTTCCATTCTAGTGTCAGTCTCATCGTTAACTGCAAATGTGAATGGTTTATGCAACAACAGTTCTCCCAAGCCAGCAGGTACAACCTGCTCTCTACGTATCACATGCACTTCCAATACATGTCTTAAGGACTTTAACTATTCCAATTTATAACAGTCTCACCTAATTTTGTAAAGAAAGACATTTAAAACACACTATTTTCCTGTTCTAGCTACTGGACAAAGAAGGATCTTTTAAGTTGTCTCTTCAGGTGAGCATCACTGCTACATCCGCGCACGATTAAGACAGTTCTGCAAGGAGACTTGAAGATGGCACATCTCCCATTCTCTGCTGGCTGAATTTCGCCACCCATGAATAGCCTCCTCAGGTTCCAGCCTGAGACTGACAGCAGCAGAGTTCCCAGCCATGGCTGTCACAACAAGAAATCAACCAAGAGCTTATTTAACAGAGACTGTTAACACGAGAAAGGTTTTGTGAAAGCAAAACAAAACCAAAACACCTCAGGGAGGATTTCAGTTTCCTTTGTGTACTGTGCTTCAAAGCACTGGAAGCAGACCTGCTACATGTGAAAACGGGTAGAAGTGTTTTTCCTTGCACCAGGAGTAGCTGTTAGCCTTTTTCCCTGACTTAAGAATATGCTCATAATAACATCCATTACATTTAAAAGCAATTTTAAGAAGCCATTTAAAAAGTGGGCTAGGTATTAAAAATATATATAGAGAGAGATAAATTTTAAAAATTTGGTGTTACCTCTGTCTTCCATAAACTTGTAAAGCTGTTGGAGGAAGCTGTCCCTCTCTTCAGGATCAAGCTCTTCCTCAGGCTGTGAAAACAAATGCAGTCATAATGAAAACATAAAATATGCAAAGTAACAATTTATTTGTACAAAAGCCTGACAGCAAGAACCAAACCCAAACCACTTCCCATTTGGCCTTGCACCATGTGATGCTGAAATATGCAGAAAACGGAATTTACTCAGGAGACTGAAGTGTACAACTCAGGAGGAGAAAAAGAAAATACAGGTCCAGGGAAAGCCTCAACCCATGACAGAAGGAATGTAAGCGCAACCCTCAAAACAAAAACATATTGTTCTAATACAGAAAAGATCTGTTATTTACAAGACTGAAGCACTTCACAGGAACTCTATGGTTTTTTGTTTGTTTGTTTTGTTTGGGGATTTTTTGTTTAACTCATCTTTCTTACCCCAACTATAGCTAAGGTTGCAGAACAATTCTTTCCCCAACCGTTCCCATGTTTGATGCTCCAGACAATACCCATTTTGTGATTAAGCTCCAATGCTTGATTTCAGCTCCTATTTGGAAACACTTTTACAGTCACTTCCATAATTCCCTGAGCACATATTTCCATAATTTATTATTATAAATTCCTTAGTTTTATCTTTACAATTTAAATCCTCAAAGAGAGAAACACTTATGAACTTCATGGTAAGCAGTCCACAGTGTGAAATAAAGATTTTATTTTATTCAGGTGGAAACCATGAAAATAAAGTACATTTATTGGGGGCAGGGAAACAATTTCTACATATACTCCATGGAATTCCGAGATGCTAGCAGAGACCAGGAGGGGAAAAAAAAAAAAAAAAAAAAATAATCCTCTTTTCCCTGCAACGCTTTACGCATGCCACTTTCTTCCTGCCAGCCTGGCAATCACAAGGATTGCTGGTAAGGCAGTTTGCAGGAGGAAGACCGCAGCTGTCTTGTAGGAAAGACGTACAGTACGTGTCAAAAAATCTTATCATTACATTATTAAAAATAACAGAAAAGTCACAAGCAGTTCCAGAAGGAAACCAGAATAGCAATTTCCATTTCAGCCATCTCTGCATTCTGCAAACTTTAAGCTCCAAGGCAGGAAGATAGGCAGTGAAATATAAATGTATACGTTACTGCCTTGTTAACCAGAAAGCAATCTGCCCAGCGTCAGAATGAATTTCAGCCCTGCCTACTTCAGTGAATTCTGAGCTTCAAAGCCCAATAGGGATCACCTACAAACAGGCAGAGATTTCTTAAATTTCTATTTTTTTCTTGGTAAATAATTTGAGGAAATTAAATGAATAATCACAACATTGTACAGCATCAGTCACCATTTGCTCATACTGTATATTATAGGGATTATGTAAAGAGAAACAGTTATCTATAGAATTATTATGTTCTTCCAGGATAACAAACGAATTATTGCTATAGAAACCGCAGCTTTTTTCTCTCCATTTAGATTGCAAACCGACTTCAAGATCGAGAAATTTCTACCATGTACTGTAATGTGCACTGATTAAAGGCAACACGACTCAAACTGTGCAAACTAAATGTATCTAATAACAGTAAACATTCAAAAATATTTCTGAATAGTTGAATTCAAACCGTCTCTTTTACGTGGGCATAATGCCAAACCAGAACTGTAGGTCAGAACAGCAGAAATGTGGGTTAGAAATAGCAGCCTCCAGACAGAATGTTAACCATTTCATCGATACAAAGTATTTTCAGCTCAAGAAAAGCAAAAAGACAAGATGAAAAGCTTTTACGTACTTATAGGACCAGGGCATAAAACCTAACTGCAATATTCATCCACCTATGAGAGACATCCTGAATCTTGTACCTGCTTCTCTCTGTTGATGCTGCAAGAGACAGGTTGCCACTCCCTGAAAAAGAGAGTCTGAACCATGCCTGAACCGTGATACCAATGCCAGAGTAGACACCAAATCCTTCTGAGAGGGGACTTATTCATAAGACCTGAAGAACTGTCACCAAGGAGTAAATCACGTATCACCTGTTTCAGTCTTTTTTTGCTACTGGCCGAAATGAGAAAGACCAGCATGGATATGCTTAATGAAACATTAAGATACATGGATTTTTATAAGAGGTCATCTTTTATCAGGGTTTATCTATCTGTAACTGGACATGATGCGTTCTCAAGGATGTCTACTGTTCTGAGTTAAGAGTTGAGCTTTATTTTAAATACATCAACCACCATCTAAGCTGCTGTATCTGCAACCTTAAATCTGCACCCCAAGTGAAGAAAAGACCTGAGAAATGTTAATCCCATAACCTGCAACCACCACCAGTAAGCGACTGGAGCTAAAATTCCCAGCACCTCTTTTCAGCAGGCACGAAGGTGACACTGCTGCCCTCCAAAACTCACTTGTCCTATCCAGACACTTATGCCTGTTTTAGATTGGGGGTTCACAGTGACAACTGTTCGAAACCAGTTTTCTTAAGAGAGTTCTGCCTCTCAATTTCATTTGTTTTCCTATACAGACGCTACAAGAAAGGGAGACTGTAGCTAAAGATAAGTCCAAGTGAGAGGCAAAACAATACGCTAAGTGGCAGGAGTTCAAAATCGAAACCTTTCTGTTGTTCATCCAACACCTGTAACTAAATGCAACATGAGAAATTTTTTTGTTTGTTTCAAGGCAAGAGGCTGAATTTCATTTAAAAAAAAAAAAATCTCCAAGATGCCCCTTTTTGCTTACAATTAAAAAGTTGAAATTTTATGAGTTTGAGATTTTTTTCCCTCCTTTCTGACTAGCAAGTCACATCAGTTACCAGAATATTGTAAACAGTAAAACAATGAAATCAACAACAAACAGGATCTCTGTATAAGGGACAAACTCCTTCCTCAACTCAATTTCTTATTGCTTTCCAAGCAATACTAACAGTATTCAAGTATTTTGTAAAATTATTTTGAGAATAACAACCAGCAAATAAGCACAACATAAAACCCACAGGAACCTGCAGAAAACTTTTAACAAGCTTTGCTTCATTTCAAGCCACTTTTTTCACCACGAGTTGTCCCTCTGCCTTTAATGGGACTTAAAACAAGAATACAGCTCTGCTATCCTGACTCATCCTTCGCTCCAGAGATGTCAAAGCTTCTGGGGATGCTAACCTGTACAGCTGAGCGGGAGCACAATGGATGAAATAGTTTATTTCGCAAAAAAAAAGAACGAATCTCCACTTACAAGCATGTACACCATATATACTCAATCAATAGCAGGCTAAGGTACCAGGGACAGATCTTTCTTTTATGTTATTAATAGACTGACAATAAACTGTGAAATAAATGCAAGCTAAGAAGAAGAACAGTGTGTACCGGATTTGCAGTTCAGAAGAGCATATAATCAAGACAAGCTGCCAGAATTAGAGTTAACATCATTTTGTTGCTTCAGAGTACTTAAATGCGATTTCATCACTTGCACGTTTGCTCTCTGATGCCAAGTTTGAACACCAATTAAGGAAACAAAAATAATTAAACTGATTGCAACAAGTTAACAGCTTTATGCCAGGTGGAGACCAGAGTGGTCTTACAATGTTCATTTCTACCAAGGAGCACCAGCAATCGAACCATCCTCACAATAACTCACTCTAGAGCCGCGCCTCGGTTTGCTACTTCTTCGCTCCTCTTCGAGGAATATTCTGAGAACATCTGTTAGCACAAAATTGTGAGGAACAAAGCCTTTGTAGAAAACATTTGTGCGTGGCATGAAGCAGGCCATGCTCCACAGTAGCCAGAACTCCTACAAATGCATGTATGCATGCGAAGGATCATTAGCTAATCAATGTTCTTTTTTTTTTTTTTTTTAAGGCTATTCTGTGTATTACACACCACAGCTGCTTAGTTGTTTTCTTTTTACATATGTAAATAACCCACTTGTTTCTGGATACCATGCTTCATTAACTTTGAAATTACGGTATTTCTGTATTTAATTTTTAGAGTCAGCTTTCTCAACGTGAGCTTAAAATACGCGTAGGTTGCAAGAGAAACGGACAATTCAGATATCATTTTACGTAGCAGCCTCCCACAGTCGCTTAGAGAAAAGACTACAGGGGAAACAAGAACTACTTTGAAGCAAAATGTAAATATTTCAGTAGATGGCTGCTGATCATTTGTAGGGATCTCAAGCCTCCGAAAACACATCATGGATTTCATAGACTCATCCTTACTTTACGAACTCAGCGCTAATTAAATAGATGGTGATGACTCCTCATGAGAACTGAAATTCTTGCTTATTTGCAGAATTGGTACATTGTAAAACGCTTCTGGCATTTTCGCTGCTCAACAACATAAAGCAACTCTGAGCGATGTTTCTTGATGCTGTTGTGATGCAAGAACCCTAAAAACTTTAAACGAATGCACGCTATTAAACATACTGCAGATACATCCTTCACGTGACTGTCAAATGAAGACAAAGAGAAAATCCCTCTAAGCATACACCTAGAGGTGCTGCAACTCCTTCTTCAACGAGAGGCATGGAGACCAGCTACCCAGAATTTTTTTCTGAATGTTTTTTGCACGTTCAGTTAGGGGGAAAAAGGTGAAAGAACAAGGAACTGCTATTAAAGCAACACAGATAAGTTGGAAGAGTCTCTCATAGATGGTGTTATAACCAATTCTACAAGTGAGATAGAAATGCCTTTTTCCAGCTCTAGATATTATAAAGATTCAATTCTGAAATTTAAAGAATTCAGCCTCTAAAGAAGAAACTCCTTACTTTTACTCTAATCTTGTGTGAACGTGTCTATTCAAAATACGTACTGAAAATACATTTCAAATAACTGCACGTTAAAATCTTCATTCTTCTGGAATCAGAATGGCCTGCAGGGAGACCAAGAGGCAAAACCAAATGTTGCCTACACATTCCATTGTAAAATGGGGAGTATTTGATTATTTAATCCTGAGAAACAAATACATATGATTTCTTCCCTGACAGAACAACTTCAATACGAGCAAATACAGTAGCATAAAGAATTTGATTTTTAATAAAAATCAAGTGATGTTCCAAAATGTTCTATTTCTATGTGACGATACTGGAGTTTACAATTTCTCTTTCATTTTAGCTGCAGAGCATTCTTTGACTGCCAAATGGACTCTCAAAACAGAGTTAATTTTCTTATTCTGACATATTGAAAACTGGCTCAGAACCAGAAGCAATATCCAGATTTTTATGTGGATTCAAACCAATTGTGCGATTCTTTAAATTTTCATTTGATAAAGAACTTTCTTCCATAGCACCTCCTGATTTTTTCACTCCTTGCGACACAAGCAATATGCAGTTACTCAAACCTCACATTGTGAATGAAAAGTAATCCTGAGTTGCACCATATATTGCCAATTATTTCCAAAAATCCAACAATTTGAACATGCTGAGCAACTCAATGTAACACAATCCCTGTCGAAGTCAACAATAAGCAATTTCCACATTTTCCTCCTTCATAGTTAACTCTGGACCACACAAGTAAGTTACCACCGACGAGGAGGATTAGCATCTCACCACCACCATATTGGTTCCCACTCCTTAGCTGACAAAAGACATCAAAGAACGACCATGTAAAGCCTGGAAATCTTGTTGCACCAAATTCTACCATACTCTTTAAGATGTCATGAAAGGCAGTCTCTGTCAAAACAAAGTTAAAGATTTTAACCCAGCTACTGGAAAAATGGTAGGATCCATTATCACCAGCTACAGCAGGTCTCTCTGCTCCATTATCATCATAAAAGATCCTGCTTCAGAAAAATAGGATCCTTTCCATTCCCAGAATTAGACTCTTCTGACTGACTTTATGCTCTCATTATGTATGAAGTAGGTCTCTGTCCATTTGATTAATTTAATGAAGGCCTATCATGGCTGGTCAGCAGCTGGCCAGGCCTTGACAGCAAAGCTGCTGTGCATTTCAGAAGACGGGGGTGAGGGAAAAAAAAAGACAATTTTAAAAAATCTCCCTCCCATCTCCAACAATACAACAATTTGCACTTTTAAAACAAAAGGTCCACGGAGAATATTCTGGTTGAGGATGGACAGAAGCTATTTTGACCTTGATTAATAAAGGAGAAACTCTACAAAATGTAAATGCAAAAACTGAGTAATTCAACAAAGTGCTATCATTCACTTGTCGATTCTCTCTGCAACCAGTATTACTGCCTTTCGAAGGGAAAAGAAAAAAGAAATGACGATAAATTCCCGAAATGTTCTCTAACTGTAATATCTAGCATGGAGCACAATTAGAATCAGAATATGTATAGTAACAGTTGAATCAGGAATTTGATTTAATGGGCCAGAATGTCAGTTCTGTTCTGACATAATCTAAAAAGATTAGCATCTATCCTCTGCTACCTAGCTTCAGCATGAAGATGCTCACCTTATTTTTACATGCCTACTTGTCACCTGGAAATAATGGATTCTACAGCTTTCCCT